GACATTTGTACATTGTAGCACTTTGTGGCAACTATAAATACTCTAATGAATTTTGTAGTTCTCTAGTTTATGTTTTCTTCTCGTGTCCGCCCTTTCGACAGTTACAATCGTTCTATTAACAACGTGATTTCAAATTAACATTTGTTCTACTTAAGCAACGTAGAATGTTATTTCACTTTACTACTGAATTTTCTCATTTACATTTCTTTTGAAAGTTCACAAAATTTCCATCACCAGTTCTCCTTACATTCTACTTGTTTGCTCATATCAGTATGTAAACATTCTTCCTCACGTGTCCTTTATTTCATTTTCTCAATTTTCGAATGAATTACCTTATTTTTTCAATACCTTGCAGTTCGTCCATTCAGATTTTTTACTAACATTTCGCATTATACCAGTCTTTTATGAATCCTCTACACATTCTACACTCCCTAGCTCGCTCGTTATACAACATGAACACAGTGTCTCCCGTTTCTTATTCCGTTTCATTTTCTCTGCATTAACCTTGTTTTACTCACTTGCGACTGTTTCTTTCCCGAGGATTTTTCCCTTCGCGCCCCTGCGCGTGCTGCTCGGGCCCTGCCCTTTCCCCAGAGCCCGGGATGCAGAGGGGCGGCGTTATGAGGCCGTGTTTTCCGACTCATTGGGCCCGAGAAGCGCCGGCGCCCGCCGCCCGCGCGAAACCCGCGTGAAATACGGGGAGGGGAGCCCCGCCCACCTCCGCGCCGGCGCCCCCGGCAGCCGTGACGCCCACGACGCGCGTGTAGTAGCTGTTGCCACGTGTACTCATCAGATAACTTTTACTACAATTCATGTGTTTCGATATTTCTTTACGGACGACTGACTATAAAATCCTTAACGGACGCCGGCCGTGGTATGTCGTTCCTCTAGTTGCGTCGACATACCTTACCTACAGTATAAAAAATATTAAAATTATATAAAAAGAGCGCTTATTTTGGTACTCCAGCCAGATTTTCAGCGCGATGGAAAGCGCGTGTCGTAGCTGTTGCCACATGCGCGTTCCCCTGTTGATACGCCCCTCCTCGTTTCAGGCTTCTTCCCTTCTTTGGTTTTGTCTTTCTTTTTGTCTGTTTTCTCCGTTTCATTACGTCCATCTCGTTTTTCATGACTATCATCATCGTCTTCCACATCATATTCATATTCATTTTCTTTCTGGCAGTCTTCATTATCTGTTTGTTCAACTCTTTATTCTTTCTTCTTTGTAGTTTTCTTCTTCTTGTCTGCTTCTTCTTCTACTTCTTCTGTTTTCTGTTTCATCATTTTCTTCATTCCTTTCGTCTTCGTGCCTGTGTTTAATCGGGACACTGGCAAGCAAAGTTAGTTGATATTATGAGAACGCGGTGGTATGGTCTTGTTTTCTACACTTACAATGTAAGTACTGAGACGCTGGATTCCATCGCGTTGAAAATCTGGCTGGACTACCAAAATATGCGCTCTTTTTATAATAATTTTAATATTTTTTATACTGTAGGTAAGGTATGTCGACGCAACTAGAGGAACGACATACCGCGACCGGCGTCCGTTAAGGATTTTATAGTCAGTCGTCCGTAAAGAAATATCGAAACTAATGAATTGTAGTAAAAGTTATCTTATGAGTACACTCATTCCATGAACTAGATATTTATATGATTAAAGAACATGGTATTAAGAAAAATATTATACGACACCCGGTCGATAACGTAACCAACAGTTTTGATTGTTATAAACATCGGCTATCATCTCGATTTACATTCGGCTGTTATCGACCAAATCAAAGTAACTTCTTTTGCCATTTAGGTCACACTATATGTTTTTGCTTTATCGTAAATCGCCTTTTGAAGTTTGATCGGTTACGTTAGGAATTTTCCATCCCTGCCCAACAGGCCAGGACATGACCTCCTTGGAGGTCCTCCAACAGACCTCCTTGGTCCTCCAACAGAGAAACCTTTGCGGCTACTATTAAAAGCACCCAACGATAACCGTCAACCAGACTTCCTTAACATCTAAATCTCTTATACCACCTTCAGCAATAATGAAGCATTTTCATTCAACAATACCGACGGAGAAAGTTTGTATAGGAGAGACATTAGTTTTCATTGGCTTCATCGCGTTACTCAACGCCGTCATTTTCTAAACCAATGTCATCCTTTTTCGTCTCCTTTGATTTCCTCGTGATGACATCCCAAAATCGTCTTATTCTCCGCGTTCTCTTATCCGTCATCCTAATCAAACCCGCCTTGATCTCCGTCCCTGCTGCGTTCGCCTCCTCCGACACCCTCGCTGCATCGCATCCGCCCTCGATTTCGTCGCCGCCGCCGCCGCCGCCGCTGCTGCTGCTGCTGCTCGGCAATGATATTACGTTTCGCGCACCCGCCCCGCCCCCACGCGCGTATTCATGAATTACAGATAAATCAACACGGCTAGAGCGCGCCGCCCGCCCTCCCCGCCCCGCACCACCGGGCTTGGCAGTGGAGGTGCCTCGCAGTGGGGCCGCAGCCACTGTATCGCTGGTTGTTGGACGGATCGTCTTATTCACCATAATGATCATTTTACAGTATGGACAAACAACTTGTCATTTTTTTATCCTAGGGTAATTTTGATCTGAATTATTCATTACAATAATAGTTTCAGCTTAATAGTTTATCGCTAAAAATATTTTCCTAGTTGTATGCATTGTTCCACTTTAATTGTGTTTCAATGGAAACCTCAAATTTATTGATTGTTAATGAAACTTAAGAGAAATAATAATTTACAATTTTGACATTTGTCAGTAGGTGTACTGCACTAACCGATTAATATTTATTCTATAAGACAAAAATTAGAAAAAAGTGCATTAACGGCCTTCTATGAAGCACTACTTTTTTACGTAAGAACTAACTTTCCTAAGATCCAATTAGACACTACTTATTCATTACTTTGAAAATTACTTATTCATTACTGGAGTTAATAATATGCTTCAATGATGACAAAAACAATTTTATATGTCTTAAGTTAAAGTTATTATATATTTTACAAAACGTCAAACTTAATACTGACAATTACCCATATTTGCCAGATTGGTTGACGTTAAAAGAACTTTGCAATTCAGAAAAATCATATTTTCATAAAATTGCCTGAAGAAAATTGCCCACGATATTCACGAAATAATTTTACCTGAATAAATTAATGCCAAATTCTATTTCAAATTTAAATAAACTAAAAGTGCCTAATTCCTAAACTTTCTTATAAAAACTCAAATAATCCTGATTCAAATTTAACAACAAAATGAAAGAAATCTCGGTGCTAATTTCATAAGAAATAATCAACCAAATCTTGGCTTGAGATTCACAAAAAAAAAGCCGGCTGCAGTAGAATGGTTGTTACCACAGTAGCTTCTAAACTCTCAGGTTTGCGATTGAAAAATGAAACATGGTTGTAGATATGATATTGATGGTTGTAGATTGATGACTGATATTTCAGAATTTACTGACCAGACTTGTGACATTAAAAAGAGTATTTGTTTGTCTGTCCGGAAGACGCCGCGTCCTAGTCACAGAAGCCAATGTTTCTGCCGTCAGGCTGCGACCTTCCTCAGGGCAAAATGCATTTTACCCTGTGAGAGGTCGCAGCATGACGCAACATTGGCATTTGCGCTAAGCAAGAGGCGTCTCCGTAGATATTTATTCCTCCATTGATGAAGCCTAGGCTTTCACCGAAAAGAATGCTGGCTAAATGCACGGCAGAATTAAATCCAATTTCCTCATGTAATATAGACCACTTTCCCCAACACACACAAATTTAAATTCCCGTGTTACGTCACATAAAATACAAACTAAAATTCCTTGAGTTGTAGGTGTCATGTTTGGCCCCACTGCTCGCCCAGGGTGGCGGAGGCGGAAGCGGGATTGTGGGAACGACGGAGATCGCAGACGGCGCGGCGGGGGCGGGGGGCGGGGAACTGAGAGGCAGGGCGCGGTGGCCGGGCGCCCAAGTGGCAGGTACGAGAGATTGCACGGCTGTAGGGGCGGTAAACTGGCGTGATAGAAGCGAGGGGAACAGATACTGGCTGTGCGACACCTGCTGGATGCAACGGCGAACGGCCCCTCTAATGGAGGCAGATATACTATGTTGTGTTATTACTTTTTTTTATATACGAAGAGTTCTCGTTCAAATCATTCGCCAAGTAGTTCAGTATATTTTTAATCACATAGAGAACTTCATCACATGTATTTCCTTCATTTTCCACGAATCGTTTCTCCCCTACGCATAAGAATGGAATGGATAATATTTCTTTGCTGAGACAATAGAAATCGCTGGCTCTTCCAGTCCGCTGTTTTACGTTATTAGCACAGACTGTTAGAAATAGGTTTGCTAAATTCTTTTTTACGCAGCATGATGTTTTTGTTAATAATCTTTATTTGTAAAGGACAGAAAAATTACTTAATCTGATTAAAATTGTAGGAATTGTGTATTCTCGCCTTGATTATACTAATTACGAGTAATTCAGTAATTGTCTAGATCTCATATTTGCTTTTTACAGAGCGTTTATTATAATTAATATTAAATGGTAAGGAAGTAGTGTTTTCCACTGCCAATTACACACGTTCAGACGTTCAGAGTTAACACATAATTGAAGATAGTATGCATTTTGAAGAACGGGGAACACGCTAAAAATGCATATATATAATTTTAGAAGGTATTGCTTTTTAGCAGGAGCCATAATCTAAAATTTTAAGTCTTTGGGTGGTAGAGTCAGTTCAGAGACAATTTATAATAACGTTGAAATAGTCTAAATGAAAATAATGCAGAAGGTATATTGTCACAAATAATTGTTGCCCTTGCTTTTACTCGTTCTTGATTGTCTTTCTTGTTTTGTATTGAATGTGTGGTTTAAATCCTACGTTATTAAATTTTAAATAAATAGTTTTCGCTCAATTGCAGCAAATTGTTTTTTAATTTATTTAGACGTGTTCTCTAAACACTAAGTTTAATAAACTGATAAACGATTTTGTAATGAACCTTTTATGTAATAAACTGTTTGATACATTTTAATTTTAGTACAGTTCGACTTCTTATGCTTGTTATGAGCGCAACCAAAGTTGCAAATTCACAAAACAACAAGTATTTGTATTCCTTAAATGTTCAAACAAGTAATTTTGACAATGAGAAGACATCGCCATCGCCTGCAGAAACATGGTAAGTAAATTACACCAAATTCCAAATCAACGTTCTACTAAAACGTGTATCCGTGATTTGTTGATCGTTAAAACAATATCATATCATCAAATCTATTTACATCTAAATTCTTCATTCAATTAAAAAAATAATTAAAACGTTTCAAAGAAAGAAAGCCTTGAGTCAGGTTACAATGCAAGTAGAACAGTAAATGAAGTCTCTTTATAGATGCACCTCTCGGAGACATTCCTGCCGCGGTCCTCGGTTCGAAGAACTGCGCGCGGAGCCCCCGACTTCGCGCAGGTGTGCGCGAGAGGTAGTATTCGTATGAGATGTGCCGGCGAACTGCATGCCGGAGGGAAGAGGGCTTTCCCCCATCGCGGGAATAGCGCTGCAGGAGGGTGGTTATTCCCAGGCGCGGAAGGGAGCCGGTATTCTATGCGCACTCGCGTTCTGCAAAATGAATGAAGAGGAAACTGAATATTAAGAAACCAATCTTTCTTATTGCATCATATTTACTTTATGAAACAATATGGAAGAGATCGTTGGACACGCGGGATATTGCTCGAATACACGCGGAGAGCAAATTCAAGAAACGACCCACTTTCAATGCCGTAAGAACAGAGGTAAAGGTGATAAAGGATATAACTTTTCTGTATTTTACGCGGAACGGTATACACAATTTTACTTTCAATTTACATTATTTGTAATAGTATACTTTCTGAGAGAGAGAAGAGAGAGAGAGGTAAAACCGAACGAATGAAGAAAAGTATCTGATTAACTTAATATTAAAACGAATTGTAATTTTTCCTCCAAGAAAAATATAAGCTTGCCAGAATTATGCAGGGAGACACGAGATCCCTGCAACAATACCATTATTTGCAATAAAATTTGTTCCTACGTTTACGCGAAATTCATTTTCTTCTTACAAAAAGATGACGGGTATAATTAAGTCATTAACCTCGCATTGACTTATTGCAGACCTTCTTACTGGCAAATGGCATTCAAATTATTTTATCTTCTTATTAAATTAATGCGAACGCTATTTACTGATAATCCATGGTCCACTATTAACAACTACAATCAGTTTCGTAATAAATTCACTTCTTATCTTTCTGGAGTTTCTTATCTTTCTTGAGTCTTCAAATCTTGAGTTTCATACAGTTCTTTTTCTACGACTTATGGAAATTTTAAAAGTTAAACTTTGTTAATTGAACCGTAAGTTAACGTGCCAAGGCCACCTAGCTTCCTATCGCATATGGCTTTGTTTTACCAGACGGACTGCGAGGGACAAAATCAATGGTTTTGACGTCATTCTCGCTTTTCCTCTTATTTCTAGAGGTGTCACCTCCACCTTTGATTCACTTCACATTTTAAACTAAAGAATTAGCCTTTTTTATGGAGAACCACACAACAGCAACGTATAACACAAAATGACTTGCGTTCAGAAAACGTCAGAGAATGATCAATAACTACGTCTGCCTAATCAAATAGGATGAAAGTGATATTATGATTTAATTTAAAAATTTAAAAATACTACTAATAAAATAAATTAAAGCTGAGATGCATTGTATTATATTAAATGCAATTTTAATGTTCCCAATCGAACGAAACATTTACTATATCGATTCTCAATGAGTAATTGTCATTAATTGGTTTGTAAGCTTCTTTGTGATAGGTCAACAACCTGCATTATAATGAAATCTGTATTTAATGAGTATCATTATGTAAGGGGTTGCATCCATTAAATAACAGATTTATACAATGGAAGTAGTAAATGAAAATTATAGTCTATCGGAATTTTATGAATGTGAGTGAATCGTTGAGCGATATTCACATCGTAACATCTTACGATATTTATTTCGTAAATAACTATTATTAACGTCACCACTCAAATTCTTTCAACTTGAGTATTTAACGAAAGCCATTATTTCCAAAGAATTAAAGAGAAGAAAATTCTACGTCTCAGTATTGTGAGCGACTGAAATGTTAAAGCGATCTTCCGCATCATTCGAATACCATTTATCCACAGTTGAAGATCCAAACGAAGACGAAATCTCTCAAAAAGACTTCAGCGGGCGCGGAGGGCGCGAGAGAAACTGCCCGCTCGGGGCGAGCGGCGCTGGGACATAAATGTCCGCTGTGATGACTTCCCTTTGTGGAATCGCCTGTCAATACACGGCCGATTCAAACGGCTTCGCAGCCGCGAGCATCGCGTCCCCATCGCCTTTTCTTCGACGTCTTCGAGTCTCGGCTCTTCTGTCCCACACTCTTTCATCCTCTCTTCTTTTCCGACGCACTCATTCGTCGACGCACTCATTCGTCCGCGAGCACTCATTCGTCCGACGCACTCATTCGTCCCGACCGCACTCATTCGTCCGACGCACTCATTCGTCCCGTGCACTCATTCGTCCGAGCACTCTTCGTCCGACGCCCTATTCGTCCGACGCACTCCATTCGTCCCGACGCACTCATTTCGTCCCGAGCACTCATTCGTCCGACGCATCATTCGTCGCGACGCACTCATTCGTCGACGCACTACATTCGTCCCGCACGCACTCATTTTCGTCCGACGCACTCATTCGTCCCGACGCCTCATTCGTCCGACGCACTCATTCTCCGCGACGCACTCATTCGTCCCGACGCACTCATTCGTCCCGCGTCCTCATTCGTCCGCGCCCCCACTCCCCGGGGCAACTCATCGTCCGACACACTCTTCGTCCCGACACCTCTTCGTCCCGACCAACTCTTCGTCCCGACACAGCTCTTCGTGCCGACAATCTTCGTGCGCGACCACACTCTTCGTCCCGACACACTCTTCGTCGGGCGACACACTCTTCGTCCCGATAAAACCACCAAAAAAACCCCAACACAAAACAAAGAACCAAAAAAAAACACTCTTGTCGCGAAACTCTCGGTCCCGCACACTCTTCGTCCCGACACACTCTTCGTCCCGACACACTCTTCGTCCCGCACACTCTTCGTCCCGACACACCTTCGTCCCGACCACTCTTTCGTCCGCGACACACTCTTCGTCCCGACACACTCTTTCGTCCGACACACTCTTCGATCCCGTTACACTCTTCGTCCCGACACCTCTTCGTCCCGACACACTTCTTTCGTCCCGACAACTCTCGTCCCGTCACACTCTCGTCCGACACACTCTTCGTCCGAACACACTCTTACGTCCCGACACACTCTTTCTCCCGACACACTCTTCGTCCCGCACACTCTTCGTCCGACAACACTCTTCGTCCGACAGCACTCTTCGTCCGACACACTCTCGTCCGACACACTCTTCGTCCCGCCACACTCTTCGTCCGCGATCACAGACCTGGCTTCGTCCGGACACACTCCTGCCCCCCGCTCTCCCCGGCTGCTCCTGCACCCTCCTCTCTTTTCCGCTCCCAACTCTTTCCTCTAACCGAACTTCTCTGTCTCCTGAACGTCAACATTCTGGCACGCAGTCCACTTCTCCTCTTCCCCTTTGTACTGTCCCTGCCTCCGTTAGCCCTTCCTCTCTTCCCCATTTCATTACACCCCTCTAGTTTCTGGCTTCTCCTGCCTCCGTTCCTATTTCTCATTCACAGTGCTCCGGTGTCGATACGTAGGTGTCTCATTCTCTCTTACCTTCATTGCTTTCATCTCTTGCTCACATATTGTTTATCCACTTCGAAAGTCAGCGAACCTTAATAATTACTTTCGCAGTTCTTTCTGTTTTTTCTTTCCACCTATACGTTTTGCTCATTTTCGTTTATCGTTTCCTTCCGTCGTTTTCCTTTCATCTCCTTCTTTTCGCCTGTTCACATTGCGATCATGTTAATGCAATCACAAAGGGACCTCTTCTGCACGATTTTCGAGAAAGAGCCAGGAGGATGGGGGAGGTGGATGGAGAGAGATGACGTAAGTCAATACAGTAAAAAACGGTACAGTTTCATAGTGTTAAATTCCAAAAGTCGTTTTAAGCATTGTTACTGCAATTTGGGGTATCAGTCTTCATGTATGATGGAACTGTAGCGTCTAGATAGGATGATTGATACTGTCAACATGGTGAACTATATTATAAATTGAAATTAAAGAATGTACTTTATTCAAAGTTTAATATGGATACAATTAACTATTAACAGTTAAAGCAGAGGTATCATGTTTGCAGCAAAAACGTTTTACAATATTAAATGAAAATTAATTAAAATTAATACAGATCGGAATACTAACTAGTAACAAACTACGATTAATCAACAGAAAAAGGCTCATAATTGGTAGTTCGGCGGAAGACAATTATCAATGTAACTTCACGTTATACCTGTCGTAACTCACCATGAGCGCTAATTCTCGCAAATGGCCATAAGCGGGGAGAGCGCCAAGGCTGTAACAATTCATTAGCGATTCTAAGCTCTTAGGAAGTGGTTTGGGCGCGCACGGGACAGATAGTTTATTGAGAGATATAAAACGGGCCGAGGATGAAGCAGCGGCAGCGGGCGAGTTGTTTCATTCACTCGCAATCTCGATTTATGGCGAGAGTTCGAACCCCACAGCAAGATTGTTCGCGGTTCGAGGCCACCGAGAAAATGAAGAGACGAACTAAATGACAGAATGAAAAGAATGAAAGGAGTAAGAAAGAAATGGTAACAACAAGAGAGTCGAATAAGGGAGATAATACTTGAGATTTTGTGTGTTGAGAAATGTGTAGCCGAAGCAACTGGAAGTTAGAGTGTCTTAAACGTCAAAAAAGGAAAAAAATTAAGTAAAAAGCAAAAAAGGCAGCAAGAAACGATGATTAAGTAAAAATTGACCACGCGTTTAAAATTGTTTGTATTTTTTCTTTATCATTTCTAAGGGTGCGTAATTTTCTACTTTCTCGAATCTTACGTACAAATAAGGAGTTATAACTAGTATGAGAGGAAGTTGTGTAATGCAAGCAACGAAATTGGCGATTTTTCTATAGAAAATCTAGTATTGCAGGGCCTTGATACGAGAAGAAGCTGATAATATTGTTTCAATATGTAGTAACGTATTTCCTCTAATAGTTTGTGTAGTCACATTTCACGATTTGTGAATCATTGATGAGAAACATTGTGTTGCTGCACAACTTCCGTCGTCTTTTCTTCCGTTCCGTTTCTTTTCTTCCGTCTTTTTCTTCCGTCCGTCTTTTCTTCCGTCCGTCTTTTCTTTCTTCGCGTCCGTCTTTTCTCCGTCCGTCTTTTCTTCGTCTCTGTCGTTCTTCTTCCGTCGTTTTTCTTCCGTCCGTCTTTTCTTCCGTCCGTCTTTTCTTCCGTCCGTCTTTTTCTTCCGTCCTGTCTTTTTCTTTTTTCGTCCGTCTTTTCTTCGCGTCGTCTTTTCTTCCGTCGCGTCTTTTCTTCGTCCGTCTTTTCTTCGTCGTCCGTCTTTTCTTCCGTCCGTCTTTTCTTCCGTCCGTCTTTTCTTCGTCCGTCTTTTCTTCGCGCTTCGTGCTT